ACAACCTCTATTTGGCTTGAGTTGTCAACGTTGGCAGTGTAATTTAGGGTGTTTTTGCAAGATTTCAAACCTATAGGGACTTATGTGTGATTTTTTAGGGGTGTTTTTGCTGGATTTCAAACATTTTTACATGCTGACGTCATCGGTTTGACCCGTCGGTCAAACCGGTTCAACCAGTCAATCCAGGACCTGGCCACTTTGCCGGGTTTCACCCCGGACTGGGTTTTAAAACCTTGATCCTTAGTACAAGTGGTATAGAAGTAAAATATGCACTACATTAATAATTAATTAATGGAGCATGTCAAATCTAAGGTACAGACATTGATAAAAGAGACAGACATAGTTTCAAAAAACTAGTACATGTATCTATGTAGTGTTGGGAATATGCAAAGTCATCTTAAAAGTCTAAAATTTTGCATTCTCTTTAATGTTTTTCCCTTCATGTTGATGTAAATTTTATAAACACACTATACTATAAAAGGAATGAGATAATCCTGAAGATGATAGTAAGAAAATACAAAAAGTTTTATGTCAAAAAGTTGTAAACATGCTTGAGAAGCTAGAAATATTTTGGCTTCAACAAGAATGTGTCAATGCTACGGAGTTACTATGCACTCGTATGTTAAAAGATATGGTAACAACTCTAAAATATAAATCATTGTTCCAAACAACTTTAGATAAATATTTTATTTCACCTTAAATCTATAATGTAACATAATATTTTTTTTTTACAATATACAGATAATTATTATTATGTGGAGGCGAGTTCCTTAAGACAGGACCTAAAAAAATTGTAGTTTATTACAATGGAAAGTTTATTCTTATTTATAACTGGCCCAAGTTGGGACCAACATTTTTTATGACTATATGAAAGTTATTCTTATATAAAGTATCACTATAGAGAGGTTCACTTATAATTTTTTATGAAATAAAGAATGTAATTTAAATTTTTCCATATAAGGCCTTACAATCTTTTGAGCTAAAAATTTTAATTTTAGATTCGTTGATCAATTCACAATTCATCTTATGATTCCACATCCTCTATAGCAAGAAATGTAATTATTTACTTAAAGGATAATTCGTGTTACCTCTTTCTTAAGTTCTCTTGTAGCTCTCTCTTTCTTAGATTCATAAATAAGATGGCTTCAAAGGTCACATCACAGAACAATTGAATTGTAATTCTCTTACGTTTGGACGATAGCTACAATAATATCAAATCCAATTGGCTGCAATTTCTTCTTCCAAGTAAGTGAATTATTTTGTTAGCAGTTTCTTCTTCCAAGTAAGTGAATTATTTTGTTAGCAGTTTCTTCTTCCAAGTAAGTGAATTATTTTGTTAGCAATTTCTTCTAAGTAAGTGAATTATTTTGTTATATATCTGAACATGATTTATAGATGCAAATAAAATTTACACTACATTAGTTTTAAATATAAGTATTTAGCTTTATACATATTTCTAGAGTTAACGACATTTTCCCACCTAAGGTTTGGCCTAAAAACACTTTTCCTCCCGAAAAATATCAAAACTACACTTTTCTCATTCACCGTTAAAATTCATTAGTAAAATCTGTTATCTGACATAGTATAATCAATGTAAAGACAAGGATATCCTTTACTATTTAAATCCAAATCCATACCTAAACTCAAACCCCATCACTTTAATTAAACCGCACCCCACCTCCACCATGCACCCATTGGCCACCATCCCACCACCACCATACCGCGATCTCAAGCCATCTCCATCCCACCCTCACCATAGCTCACCCCTAAACCATCATCACATTTGCCACACAAACCAAATTGCTTCTAACACCTACAAATAGCAGCCCACTTCCACAACAACCCACCTGCCGCCTATACCTAACCCTATCCCACGACCACCACTACACATCACCTTCATATTACCCTACCTCATCGTATCCCCATCACCTCCACCATGCACCCTATTGGCCACCATCCCACCACCATTGTGAGCTATTACGCTTTCTTCAACCAATTGGTTGAAATCACAATCGGCCTAGTGCGATTCGGTCAAAATCGCACCCGACCAGATGCAATTAAGGCCAAATACCACTTGGCCGAGTGCGATTCCGACCGAGTGCAATCGTACCAAATCTGGAGCCATTGCACATCACCTTCATATCACCCTTCCTCATCGTGTCCACATCACCTCCACCATGCACCTATCAGCCACCATCCTACCACCACCATGAGTTATTATGCTTTCTTCAACCAGTTGGCCGGAATTGCAACCGGCCTAGTGCAATTCGATCAAAATCACACCAAATCTATGGCGGATCTATATCTGGTGTGATTACAATTTCTTCAACCAATTGGTCGAAATCGTAATCAGCGTAGTGCAATTCGGCTGAAATTGCATCCAACCAGATGCGATTAAAACCACATCTCACCTGGCCGAGTGTGATTCCTACCGAATCACATTCAGCCAATCATACCAGATATAGGGCCACTACAGATCACCTTCATATCATCCTATCTCATTGTATCCCCATCACCTCCACTGTGCACCTATCAGCCACCATCCTACCAACACCATGACCTATTACGCTTTCTTCAACAACTGGACGAAATTGTAATTGGTGCGACTTGACCAAAATCGCACCAAATCTAAGGTGAATCTAGTACGATTGGGGTTGGATGATTTTGGTGTGGAAGGGTGGGGAAGAAAGGTAAAAAGGTTTTATTTAGGTTCTTATTTCTTCTAAGTTTATATATAGGAGTGAAATGACATAATTACCCTTTGACTGCTTTTTGAATTTACCATTTTTTCCTTCTTCAGTAAAAATTAACTGTGGGTGGGTGGGTGAGAATTTTGAATCTCTTCAGGTGAGAAAGTGTCATTTTGAAACTCTTCCAGTGGGAAACTGCCTTTAGGCCAAACCTTGAGTAGGAAAATGTAGTAAACTCTATATTACTATGTTAGTATATTAATTTCATTTTGTCGTCTCAAATGTAAATAGACCATCAACGAGTAATCCCTATACCTTTGATTTTGCATTTTGTTAAACTAATTTTAATTAGTGGTTAACCTTTGGTTTGCACTTTAAAAAAATTAGATCAACAAGATTATTTGAAGGAGCCTAGAGTTTAGAATTTATCTTTATATATCATTCCAAATTAAGAAGTTATTCTTTAATAAGGATACTAATCAATCCTATATATGATTATTCTATCACTCGTAGAAATAACTTATTCGAAGGTTAATGAGGCAACTATCTAAAACCCCAATTGTTATTAGAGACTTATTAAAGATAACTTCATGGTATCTTACTATCTTTTAAAAAATTGATAAAGCAAACGACATGTTCTCACCCGTGGTTTAGCAAAATCCCAAGTTTATATCTCTGATTGTATTTATTCTATATTCACACCTTTAAACTCACACTGTTAGTTAATTTTGAATTTTGAATTGTGTTATTACCATCCTACCCTTAATTTTTTATTCCCTCCACCCAGCAGCCGCCACCGCACAGTCGTTGGCATTTTCAACCTTCTTCCCGCTAATTTTTTACCCAAAATCACATCCAACCTCTTCCTTGTAACCCCTACACCAAAACCCACTGTTGCACCCTCTAATCTCCGGAAAACGACCTCCTTGGCATTCGCGTTTTCTCCCAACTTTGCGGCCAAATTCCAACCGATTTCGTCATTGAAAATTCACCCCAAAGCCACTAGTCGAGTCACCTTCATCGCCTCTACAAAACCCACCCTCTCATCGCCCGTCGTCACTCACCGATTGCTGCCCAAGTTCCATCCCCACCGCCCTGCAACAGCTTTTTTTGCGCCCTTTTTGCACCATTTCTTCATCGTTGTTTGCCTTTTTGACCTTCCATCCTTCTCTTTGTTGTTTTGTTATGGTTGTTGTGCATTCTTTGGCCACCGGTTATCATCCTCTAGCCCAATATCTCCATTCAAAGTCACGCCCACCAACAATTTGAGGAAATTCCTCAACCAACTGCCCAGCCAAGCATAGGCTTTTTTTTGGTGATTGGAGGGTGCAACGATGAAAGGGTTTGCTGGGTTTTGGTGTAGGGATTACAAGGAAGAGGTTGAACGTGATTTTGGGTGAAAAATCAACCAGAACAAGGCTAAAAATGTTGACACCTAAGTGGTGGTGGTGGCTGAATGGTGATGGTGGTTGTGTGGGGGAAATAAAAAGTGAAGGATAGGATGGTAATAGTAAAAGTCAGAATTCAAAATTAATTAACAGTGTTAGTTTAAGGGTGTGAATCTGAAATAAATACAACAAAGGGTATGAACTTGAGATTTTGCTAAGCCTCATGTGAAAACATGTCGTTTGCTGAAATTGATAATATTTATCACTGGAATTATCAATTGACCACAAAAATTTAGTTAATTATATCTTTTCTATTTCAAAATTCAAGATTTTGTATTAATAAATTTTATTTTCAAAAATATAATATACTCTAATGGGCAAAAATACTCACCTCCGCAAATTTATTTGAAATATCTGAGATACCAACTATTAATGACACCCCGAAACTATTTAAAAATGTATCCTTCAATACCCCAAACATTAACAAGGCATGGCTTCCGTTAGATTTTAATCAACGCAAGACTGTCCTCTGACCTTTCTACCTAAACAAATAACAATTTATCTGCTGTTTTCTCATTTCTCCCCCTCCTACCCCCCACATTTAATCTTTTGTTGCTTGTACCCCCACCTTTCACTTGCCCGCATTCCTGCCCCCACCAAACATCACTAATTCCAGCTTCATCAACAAACCGAACATCATCTCCATGATCAACATTATTCAACTAAGTTTTTTCTACGAGATTCAACTCGATTATACATATATATTGTTTGTTAAGTTGTTAATCTTCTTTGTAGATTCACATATATCAAATGTTATATATACATTTCTTTTTCTTTTTCTTTTGGTTTTGGTTTTACCTACTTGCAGATTGATCTATAAGGAAAGTAAATATAGAAGATGGCCAAGCAACTTTATACGAATATGGTAAAAAAACTTTGGACTGCATGGGAAATTCGAGTGTTGGTTTTAATTAGCCTTTCTTTACAAATCATCCTCAACTTCTTCGGTTCTCGAAGAAAATACATAGCAAAAAGCTGGATAAGGATTCTTGTTTGGTCATCATATTTAGCAGCAGAATGGGTTGCATCTGTTGCGTTGGGCAACCTTGCCACCAACATCCAAGGAAATTTTGGAGACCATTCTCCAAACTCAAGCCATGAACTCCAGACATTTTGGGCTCCGTTCCTTCTCTTTCACCTCGGTGGCCCAGATGCCATAACAGCTTACTCTTTAGAAGACAATGAGTTATGGTTACGACACTTTCTTCAATTTGCTTTTCAACTTGGAGTGACAATTTATGTCTACATACAATCTTGGAGCAATATTAATGCCCTCACATTTCTTTCCATTCCAGTGATTATTGTTGGTTTCATTAAATATGGAGAAAAAACTTGGGTGTTTTGGTCTTCAAGCACCGAGAGATTAAGAGATACTTTGCATGCAATTGTGGATCCTAGCCCGGGTATTGTTAAATTTTTTGTGCAAGCTGGATTTGACGATATCGAAAATCAAGAACAAGAAATGGGTAAACATGAACTCCTTGATGCTCATTTTTTGTTCAACAGATTTTCACGATTGTTTACAGGCTTAATGCTCTCTAAACGGGAAGCACAAAAGACCATCCCGTACTTTTATAAAAAGCCAGCAAAAGAAGCTTTCAATCTGGTAGCAATTGAGCTTGGATTCATGTACGATTTTCTATTCACCAAGTTGATTATCGTTTATCATCGATTAGGATTCTTTCTCCATTGCTTCAATTTTCTTTCCATCTTTACAACTTTAGTTGTTTTTTCAATCGTTCTTCATATCCGCTCATACCCATATTATTTGTTGGACATCTGCATAACTTACTGCCTTATACTTGGGGCTTTTGTTATGGAGGTTTTCGCATTCGTTCACTATTCTTTGAATGAATGGGCAAAATTGGTAGTTTTGAGCATTTTAATGAAGGCAAAGAGTTATAAATGTGGTGCCAGAATTCCTTTTCCTTCATTTTTATCAACAAATCAAAAGAGATGGTCAATGTCCATGAGGCAATTCAATTTGATAAATTTTTGCATCAAAGACATTTCGACCTATACATATATCAATCGTGTTAAGAAGTTATTTGGCATCCTTAATTGGTTAGAGGAGTTCCAATTTTTGACCTGGGAAGATGTGAATCCTGAGTTGCAAGAAATTATCTATAGAGGGATCATAAATGCTCATGAAGAACATAAGTTATGTATGAATCCTGGTTCGGGCAATTCCGGCAAGAATATATTGGCTCGAAGAGGTGATCATGTGATCGAAAAGAATGAACTTAACGTAAAAGGTAATTGCTATACATCTCAATGTCACTTCGACAAGAGCATTCTTGCTTGGCACATTGCTACTGATCTTTGTTATTATGATGATTTTGTTAAACATGGAAAAGCTGATCTCGATGCGATAAATTGCAAAATTAGTAGACGCTTATCAAATTATATGTTGTATCTTCTAGTCTTTTGTCCATCTATGATGTCAAGTGAGAATGGCGAGTTGAGGTATAGAAAAACGTGTAATGAGGTGATGGACTTGATCAAGTTAGATTCGAAAGATATCAACAAAACGAGAAGCGAAATTTTGGAGCCGTTGTTTGAAGACGAAGCTCAACAACCTGCAAATAATTTGGACCCTCTATACAAGACAGTGTTATCTAGTGGAAGGAGTCTTTTTAGGGATTTGCAAAATCTGGAATCTAGGAATGGTTGGTGTTTTGACAAGAAATGGGAGATGATATGTGAAGTGTGGGTAGAAATGTTGGGATATGCCGCCATTCATTGCGGATGGAGAGAGCATGGGCAACAATTGGCCAAAGGTGGAGAGCTTCTGACTCATGTTTGTCTTATTATGACGCATCTTGGACTAGAGGTACAATATGATTATGATTATTTTGCGTTGGATATTAAAGACTAAGTTTTATTATTGAGTAATACTACACTTACAAAGAAACTTTACAAAGATCTCCATACAAAGTGATGTGGCAAAAAATGAATGGAAGAGTGAATTTAATGAGTTTGACTTTTTGTTTCACTCCTCCATTCATTTTTTGCCACCTCACTTTGTATGAAAATCTTTGTAAGATTTCTTTGTAAGTATAGTATTATTGTTTATTATTATTGTTGTCGGTTGCTGTTGTTTGGTTTTAAGTATCAGAAAATGTAATAAAAAAGAATGTGTATTTGATTTTTCATCTCTAAATTCATTTTTTGGAATCATGGTCAAGGATTGGCCGCAGTCTAATCCAAGCGGCCGTTTAAGAACTCTCAGCAAAATGGTATTGATTGATTAATATTACAAAGATGAAATTATATGTTATTAATTTGATATTCCATGTTACAAAAAGAGGTTCCAATGAAGTTTACGGCCTTCACATGTTAATAGTTAGACCACTTATGTTTATAAATTCTTTGATTCCGTTGTCTTATTTTACATCAACTATATACGTTTGCTTTGTCTGTTATCGAAGGATTAAATTCCTTTTACTGCTCGCACTCATTTTATAAATTATCATGATAAGTGCTTGTTGGGTAAGTTATTGTGGCCCATTATCATTATTAATTATTATTATTATTATTATTAATAGTAACTTCCCACATCAGCTACTTGTAATTTCCTATAAGTTATTTTGCCGTAACCACCTTTCATATAAATTACTCTTCTTCTTTGATGGATAACAAGATATACAGAACGTAAGAACTTTATATTAACCATATACATAGGGGTTATTTGGATCAGGAATATATAGGATAATGGGATAATCTTCGTTTATTTTGTAAAATTTCTGTATTTAGTTTGCAAGTAATAAAATATTACGATAAACTTTTATTGTAAACAGTGTTTACTATTGATAATGTCGGGGGTAATCTTATTACTTTGTTAGGGGGTGTTATTAAAATATTACCGAGGTAACCTGATTTTTCTACCTATTTTACCCTTAATTAAAAATCATTTAGAACACAATTACTCTCAAATATCTACCAAATAACAATTGCCCAGCCCCCATATATTTGAAAAATTAACTAAAACACCCTAGTCACAAAAAAGTTAACAAAATACCCCTAGCCACCCAAGACCACCGCCAACCATGACTCACCACTGTCGGCTGCCGGCGTCAGTCATCGTAATGGTGCACGACAGGCCATGGATCATAGATCCATAGCCAGAAACTACCAGATCTGGCGTTTCTATGGCTGTTTCACAACCAAAGATGTGGTCATGAAACGGCCACAGATTTGGCCGTTTTCCAGCCATGAATTTGTGATCCATGACCATTTCTGGCTTTGTCAGCTCACGGTTTACTATATACAACCAGTCGTGCTCCATTTCGTCGACTGCATACTGCGGTTGGCGGTGATGGTTGGGCGTGGGCAGTGGCTTGGGGTGGGTGGGAGTGATTTTGCTATAAATTAAAGTTTTATATGGCTAGGGTGTTTTAGTAAAATTTCAAATGTAAGGGGTTAAAAAAATGATTCAAAAATAATAACAAATACTATTATATTAATATTTAAAAAAGAGGATAATTTAGTAATCTATATAACATACCCACTTATTTATCCTTCCAACCACATATATTATTCACCAATTTATTCGAACTAACTAAACACATTTTTTAAACATTCCCAGTGATCTTCAAGATAATCTTTCTTTCCATTAATATAATATACCTCTATAATAAAACATTATATGATCCAAACGCTCTCATAGGGAAACAATGTCATTAGTCTACAAGAAAGTCTGTGATTCTCCATCGATACATGGAATAAGATGTTGGATAGATTAGAACTAATCCCAAGTGTATTATACAGTATTTGGAAATTGATTGTTATGGTTGAAGGTATGTTCTTGGGCTTTCGCTTTTAATTTATTAAATATTAAATTGATGATTTATTGGTTACATTTGGCATCAGAGTACCAATATGGCATTCATTTCCTTTCAATTTAATTTATGAATATACGTGTGTCATAATCTACTGTGTTTGATTGAAATTGGGAATTATGGTTTTGAGCAAATTAGAGCAAATTACGTATATTAATTTGGGTTCTAATTTTGGCAATTTTGGAATTATATGTGTTAAAATCTTATACTAGTTTTATGTGTAATTGCAAATCAGCTATTGATTTGTGGTTGATGTGTCATATCATTATATAATTCCAAATATATCGGTTCTGATTATTCCCAATTTAGTTTTGGGAATTGTTTTTGGGAAATCTAATTGGAGAATTAAATTCCTTATGAAATTATGAGAAACATGACTTTTAAATCGTAAAAAAACGGAGTTAATGTAACTGATTTATTACCTTTTGGAGTTTTGAGTACGAAGTGGGTCGTTTTCGGGTTGGCTATTCGGTATCAGTCCCGGGTGGGGGTTGAGGATGAGGCGACTGGAGCCAAGAAAAACAACACGTCGGTTTTCTTGAAGTATTGAAAACGACATGTCGTCTTATGATTAAAAAAAAAAACTTGAATATGACGGTTCTAAGAGTTGGACCCATGAACTCCCAAATTAGGGGGTTAGCCCACTGAGCCAGGCGGGCCGATTAATGTTTTGTTGGCAAAAGACGTTTTTATGCAGTTCTGGGCTGAATGTTTAAGCTGAATTTTTAAACATTCATACTGTTAAAAATCTATTGCTGAGATTCGAACCTTGGTCTCCTGGGTAAAAAGAAACATCCTGACCGTTGGACTCAATTCACTCTGTTTTGCCATTGTAAGCCTATTACTCTTATTTTCTTTATTTAGGATTCTTATCCAAAATTAATTTTCTATGCATATTTTAGTTTTCCTAAATATAAAGAATTCGTAATTGACATTATGATTAGATAATAATTTTGATGTCATACTTAAGTTTACATTTGAATAATTAAGGATTAGTCACAACACTCTTAATTATGAAAATGTTTATTGACATTATGTTTAGTCACATAAAGTCAATGACATCAATAATTGTAATTAAGCATGAAAATATAATAATTTAGCCCCACAAGGTAGGTGTTATATTTAAGTGTTTAATTAGGATGGGATAGAATTTAAAAAAAATAAAAATAAAAATTCTAGTTGCCCAAAGGTCCAAAAATTTATTTTACATATAAAATGCTAGTCTTATCATAAAGTAATTTAAATCACTTATGTGTTATAATCTATGCCCACAGGGAAGATTATAATGATATGTCGATTTAATTGTTTGGATTAATTTACATGGGCAAATAATCAATATTTGGCTTCATTGCACGTTTTAGTAAGCTTATTGTTTATTTTAGGTTGTTCAAACTTTATATGTTCCGAATTTTGATTTCTCTCGTATTACTCCTCTAAGTGGTGATAACTATGTTTTTTGGAAGGAACAAATTCTCCTCGCATTAAGGTGCATAAACTTTGAGTTGGCACTTTGGGTGGATGAACTACCAGAGCCCACATAATAAAGCACCCAAGGTGAGAAAACATCATATGATCTTTGGGAGCGAATCCAATCGCTTGAAAATTTCAGAAGTATGATACGTATGAACAATGCAAATCATAGCAAAAAGAATGTGGAGCAATTCATAAAATTCTGTAGCTTCCTTGTTAAAAAGAGAAAATTATTTAGAATAATAATAGTCTGCAGCTTCTAATATTAGTATTTTATCCATTTAAAGTTGTGTATAAGAAAAAAAATATAGGACAAATTTGACTTTCATAAGAATCCTTAGTAAATTATGTGTATCTTGACTGGACTTTTTCTGTATAATGTCATTATGCCTGAAAAAGTAGGGCTGACGCCGAACCTTGTCAGTATGGGTGGCCAGAGCTTAGGTAGGTTTTGCAGTCATTCAGACGCAGGCACGTCGCATGCTAACGTGAGCGGTATGCTCCTGCCAGTGTAGTGGGTGTGCGCCAGATTGGCGAAAGGCTGGAGACGTTCCATGTGTCCAATCCATGCACAAGTCGAGGAAATCACTCGAGCAAGTGAGCAACGGGACACAAAAAAGGATTTGCACGACAATCTGACCCACTCACAAATTTAGTAATCATTACCTCAATTCATCCAACTATAAATAGAGGGATCCTCTCCCGTTTGTAGGATTAGCTAATTTCACTCTAGAATAGCAAATTCTCTCTCTCTCTCTCTCTCTTGTACTCTCAAAGCTATAAATCAGCTCGCTAGACGCAACCTGATCTTACATATTAATACAATATCAATGGACGTAGGATTCACTTGTTTAAGCATCCGAACCACTTTAAACATTGTTCTTCATCTCTTATTCAACTCAATATCCCCATATACACGTGTGTCTTCTGAGTCAGTTCAGCATTTCCCACGTGCGATTAGTTGGTGTCAAAATCAAGCATCAACAGTTTGGCGCTAGAAGGAGGGCCTGATTTAGTACTTGTTATTCACTAGGAGAATCTCTAACTAATCGGTCCCATTACAGCAAATGGCTCGCCGATTTGAATTTGAGCAAACCAATCATGGTGATGAGGAGATCCCCTAGGTAAAAGAGGACACTTCTCCCGAAGTGCCCTCAGCCCCACAAAATACCGTGGGGGATATCCCTTCAAGCTCACGGCTTGATCCAGCCGTCATGAGCTACTTGGAGAGGTTCAACAATACTTTTCAAACAGTTAGCCAAAGGCTGGACCGGTTGGATTGGGTTGTGCCACCCGAATCAAATGAGGCGGTGCCACCGCCAAAAACGTCTGCAGGTTGCACGAAAGCACGGAAAAGGGCAATAGCCCATGCTGCTCGCACTGCAGCGCGTCAAAAAATGGGAAAGCAGGTGGCGCACAGCTGGCCTAGAGGCTCCGAGGGACCAACGAACACCGACCGCGCCCCTGGTAGAATACCTGTGGCATTAAGGCTCGGTGACATGTCGCGGCCCGAGCCATCCCGTGCCACGTCGTGCGAGCACTCCCACAAAAGTGCAAGGCAGAGAGA